AATCAAGGCTGCTAGTTTCAGTGCCTGTGCCAAATTCCAATTAGGTTAATTATATTCTACTTATCTCAATCCTCCCTGAATCAATTAGATACAGCAATTTCACTGCTCTTAAACTGTTGCATAACATTAATGTAGATTTTTGAAATAGCTGTTACATTAAGCTGATTCCAGAAATGATTTTATTTCAGGGAAATATTCATAAATTTTAAAGCTCATCAGCTTGGAATAGAAGCACCAGATAGAACATTATTTATTCATAAACAAAATGCTTATTACAAACATCACTTTTTCTTTTGTCTGAGGTTTAGGTTGGACATTAGGAAAAACTGCCTGTGAGGGTGCTTAAACACTGGAATAAATTACGTAGAGGTTGTGGAATCTCCATCATTGGAGATATTTAAGAGCAGGTAGGATAGACAGCTATCAGGGATCAGGGATTTTTTTCAAACTACAGGTCTCAATCCAGTATGGGGTCATGGAATGTCAGGCACTGGATCTTGCTGCTCCAGGGTGATCGGGCAACCAATAGGGGAATTAGGACAGGCAAACTGCAGATTGTGCTGCGCTCCAGAAGTGGCTGGCAGGCAAGGCTCCTAGATGGGAGGGGGAGAGTGCACAGGGCTCTATGCACTGCCTCTGCCCTGAACACTAACTCCACACTCCCACTGGCAGCAAACCTGCCACTGGCTGCTTCTAGGCCACAGCATGGTCTGTCTTAGCCTCCACCGCTGACTGGGAGCCACTCAAGATAAGCCTCTCCTGCTCCAGTCCTGACCTCACCCAAAGCCAAAGCTTCCTCTTACACCCAAAGCAGTCATCCTTTAGCCCACTCCAGAGCCCACACCAGTCAAATTATGTTTGGTCATGGGCATCAACAATTTTCTTCAACTTGGTCATAAGAAAAAAAAAAGTTTGAAAACTACTGGTCTTGATGGTGTTTAGCCCTGCCATGAGGGCAGGGAACTAGACTTGACTTCTTGAGGTCTCTTCCAGTTCTAGTATTCTATGGGCCAAATTCAGTTACACAGATGCAAAACAATCTCTAATGAAGTCAGTGGGAATGGCGCACAGAATTCAGTTGTGTGGGGATGAAAAAAGGTAAAATACTACATATAAAGCTAGTAGAAACTGAAATATCTCTAGCAGCTGTTTCAGAGGGATAGCTATGTTAGTCTGTTTCAGCAAAAACAATAGGAGATGTGTGGTGCCTTAAAGACTTACAAATGTAATTAGGCTAAACTTTCGTGGGCTGGAGTCTACTTCCTCAGGTGCACGAAACAGAAACTTCAGTTAGTCAGGGATATATATGCCTATGTAAAGATGAGAGTGTTACCTTACTATATGGAGAACCAGTGACAGCAAGGCCAATTTACTCAGGGTGGATGTGGCCCACTCCTACCTGTTGATAAGGTGAGAATACCAAAAGGGAGGGAAATTACTTTTTGTAGGGAGCTGGCCACTCCTATTCTAGAGTCAGACTCATTTTGATAGTGTCAAGTTTGCATATGTATTTCAGCTTGGCACTTTCACGTTGCAGGCAGTTTTTGAAGGTTATTTTGTTGAGTATGGCAACTTTCTGTCTGTTAAGTGTCTAAGGAGATTGAAGTGCTCTCCCACTGGTTTCTGAAAGTTATCATTCTTGATGTCTGATTTGTGTGATTTATTCTTCTCTGTAGAGACAGTCAGTTTGAAGAGGGACATTGATGACACATGACAGAACATATCACACTAGCAGTATAGCTACTAATCTAATAGCTGCATTTCTAACAGTTGGAAAAGAACTGTTGCTGAAAGGGAAAGAACTTTTTTGTACTACAAAATGCCTTGATACATTTAAAAAATATAAAGTTCAGCATTAGCTTACTTTTGAATTTACCAGTAACAGAATACTACAGTAATCTGTAGTTTGATTTAAGAACAAATGCTACTGAGACCCTCAAACAGCTTTAGGAACCTTTTAGTTCAACTCATTTTAAGTTTCCCTCATTTTAAGTTTCCTTCACAGACACAACCATGATTTTCAACAGATTGGAAAAGGTAGGTGCTGCAACCACTGCTCAGGGCTGCTACACTGATGATGCTTCCTGGAGATCTTATATCTTGTCTGAATAACTTATAAATACAGTGTATAAATCTCTCAATTATTTCCTTCTAATCTAATCCATTGCATTGGCTCACAAAAAAAATTTCATGGAAGAATTTAAAGTTAAAAAGCCCCATTAGCACTGTACTTGTTTAAGGAATATTATTAAAACAAACATTTAATTTATAAGTAAAACTAACAGTAACACTTAGCTTCTTCCACGGGGTATTCTGAGGGTTTATTCTTTAATATTTATAAGTAGTTGTGTTATCCGCAGATGGAAAGTTCTACACCAATTTATATATTTTTATAGTCATTTCTAAATCACAACAGATTTCTCTAGATTGATAGTTCAACACTACATCATTTTTGTTAAAATCCAACTTTTCTAGTGACAAGACAACCCTTTCATATTAAAATATATGGTAGAATTTACCAGGAGCTTATCCTGATAGTGAGAAGGGTCTGTTCAACAAACAAAGAACTCTGATCTGCTCAAAGTACTGTAATGAAATATGAGCTCATTGCCAAGAGCTACAGAAAATTAGTCAGTAATATTTCAGAACTGTTTGATCTTAACATGCAATAATATTACTTAGACAGATGAACATTGTGATTGTATCCCATACTGGAAACATATAGTGAACTTGTTTGCTGTATTACTTTTTACTCAGTTAAAATGCTGAAGAATACACTACAAATTCTCACGCTTCCTTTTCAAATATGCTATTAAATAGAGCTTGAAGTCTTAACAGGATGTGCCTTGTGCACCATATTTTACATACCATTAGGCTGCTTTTATGTACTTTAAATACATATATTTCCATCACTGGAAAATAGTGTGGGCATGAACAAATGTGCCCATATGATTTGGTATTTTGTAAAGAAAGAGGTGTATCAAGCTGTCTATCAATGTGCAGAAAGAATTAAGCTTGGCTTAACAGAGAAATCCTCAATGATCTTAAACACAAAAAGGAAGCTTATAAGAGGAAGAAATTTGGACACATGACTAAGGAGGAATATAAAAGCATTGCTCAAGCATGTAGGGGTATAATCAAAAAGACCAAAGTGCAATTGGATTTGCAGCTAGCAAGGGATGGAAAAGTAACTAGAAGGATTTCTACAGGTATGTTAGCAACAAGAAGATCATCAGGGAAAATGTGTGGGACCCTTACTGAATGGGGAAGGCAACCTAGTAACAGATGATGTGAAAAACAGCTGAAGTTCTCAATGCTTTTTTTGCCTGGGTCTTTTCAAAGTCAGTTCCCAGACTGCTGCACTGGACAATACAGTATGGGGAGGAGGTGAGCAGCCCTCAGTAGTAAAAGAACAGGTTAAAGATTATTTGGAAAAGCTGAACAGGTACAAGTCCATAAGGCTGGATCTAATGCATCTGAAGGTGCTGAGAAAGTTCGCTGATGTGATTGCAGAGCCACTGGCCATTATATTTGAAAACTTTTGATAACTGGGGGACATCCCAGAGAATTGGAAAAAGGGAAATGTAGAGCCCATCTTTAAAAAAAAGGGGTGGGGGGAGGGGAGGAGGAGGATTCTTGGAACTACAGACCAGTCAGCTGTATGCAGCCCCTCATGGAATCAGAGCAGGTCCTCAAGGAATCTATTTTGAAACTCATGGAGGAGGTGGTGGTGATCAGGAACAGTTAGCTTGGATTCACCAAGGGCAAGTCATACCTGACCAACCTAATTCCCTTCTATGATGAGAAAACTGGGTTAGTGGATGTAATAAATCTTGACTTTAGCAAAGCTCTGGATATGGTCTCTCACAGTAATCTTGACAGCAAGTTAAAGAAGTATGGCCTGGATGAGTGGACTATAAGGAGATTAGAAAGCTGGCTAGATCATCAGGCTCAAAAAATAGCAATCAACGACTCAATGTCTAGTTGGCAGCCGGTATCAAGCAGAGTACCTCAGGAGTCGGTCCGGGTACTAAGTTTGTTCAACATTTTCATTAACAAATCAGGATGATGGCTTGATTTGCAAGTTTGTGGCTGACACTAAGCTGGGGGAAAGGTAGATATGCAGGAGCATAGTGATACGGAACAGAGTGATCTAGGTAAATGGGAGGATTGGGCCAAAAGAAATCAGATGAGGTTCAAGGAGGAAAAATGTAGAGTCCTACACTTAAGATGGAAGACTCCAAAGCACTGATACTGGCTGGAGACCTGACTAGGCAGCAATTGTCCAGTAAAGGTCCTGGGAATTACAGTAGCAGAAAAGGTGGATATGAGTCAACAGTGTGCCATCTCTGCCAAAAAGGTTAATAGCATGTTGGGCTGCATTAATAGGAGCATTGCCAACAGGCTGAGGAAAGGGACTAATCCCTTCCTTTCAGAACTGGTGAGGCCACATATGGAGTACTGCATCCAATTTCATGCCCTCCACTACTGAAAGGATATGGACAAATTGGGGAGAGTCCAGCGGAGGCAATAAAAATGATTATGGGGCTGGGGCACATTTATGAGCAGAGATTGAGGGAACTGGGTTTATTTACTCTTCAGAAGAATGATGGGGATTTGATAGCAGCCATTAGCTACCTGAAAAGGGGGAGGGGATTCCAAAGAACATGGTAGTGGTGGCAGATGACAGAAAAAGCATCAATGGTAGTAAGTAGCAGCGGGGGAGATTTTGGTTGGATATTAGGGAAAAATTAGTTCACCAGGAGGATGGTAAAATACTGAAATAAGTTGCCAAGGGAGGTGGTAGAATCCCTATCCTTAAAGGTTTTTAAAGCAAGGTTTGACAAAGCTCTTGCTGGAATTATTTTGTTTGGGTTGGTCCTGCTTTAAGCAGGGGATTGGACTAGATGACTTCCCGGGATGTCTTCCAACCCTAATCTACAGCCACTCAAATGTATTATACAAATCCGCAGACTCTATAGTGTACTAATATAAAGTTGTCATAATAATTTAAGAACATTTTATTCATTTGTTTTTATACAGCATGGATGCAGTTTTAACAATCAATAGTTCCATTATTCTCCATGACAAAGCTTATAAAGTGTTCAGAGTTCAAATTCCAAAATATTTTCATCAATTCTAAAATCTCCAAAGTCTCCACCAGAAAGAAAGCAGGCGAGGGAGAATACCAGCTCTGTCGCATTAACACTAGAGATGAACCTGAGCTGCAGAGTCTGGATCTAAATAGAGACTATGCAGGTATCCAAGTCCAGGCATTTGGTGGAGGGGACGTTTGTTGGTCAAAGAAATGGGGCAGCTCTGAAGCTTAAATCTAGATGCAAATGTCCTTAAAAATTCAGTGTTAGGATGTGGGTTTTGGATTTAATTTTGGTTAACACCAATACCTTCTTTTAACCACCCTTAATATATACAATTTAAATTGTCCATGCAAAATGAGTATGAATCATTTACCAAAACTAATATTTAGCAGTTTGCAATGTGTGTAGGGGGACATCCAAATGTTTTTGCCCAAAGATTTTGGAGTTGAATGTTCCAGTACAATAATTTATCAATGCAATCTCAGTATTTTTCTCTTCAAACTTCCCACACCTTTAATATGATCTCAAGTAATATCAAAACACTTTAATTGTATATTTAAGTTGCATTTTTTTAAAAGGACTTTTCTGGATGTACATTAAGATCATTTCATGGCCTATCTAAATTTCAGCAATCCTAAAGCCATTTTTCTTTTTAATTTTTATTAACAGTGATAAATTCAGACTCAGTGCAAGTAGAGCACATTATTTTGCTTTTTCCAAAATATTGTAGCATTAATTGTAACTCTTAAACAGTGTTTGGAGTACATTATCCAGTATCTTGATCAAATCACTGTGCTCATATATTTCCAGTTCCACTGTGTGGAAAATGCAAGCAGGCTGAGGCTGCTGGTTAGTGTTACATTAGGGATCGGATATTGAGACACAGATTTCATAGTCATGGCCAATGGAATTGAGAGCTTTTATATAATTGCATTCTCCTGATAGGCAGAAGGTAAAGTAATGGACAGTTAGTTCTTTAGGCAAAAGACACAAATCTGTTGGATAAAAGATGTCATTCTCTGCCTGTAGTCAGTAACTTGAGAGCCTTCTGTAGATTCTCCACAGCAGTGCTCACATCTTCATATTGCAAAGCACTACCAGCATATTTGCAATATTTCTGAGCTCTGGCAAAGTCTTCTGGGGTCAAACGGATTTCCCCTGCAAAAACAGGATAATTAAAGTAAAAATCTGATCAAGCATTATGTTTAACTTAAAATGTTTGAAGTAATCTATTTATATTAGCAGACACAGAGCATAAAAGGAAGTCCCGGTCCTAGTTCATTATTTTAAGCTCATTTTTATGTATAACTGCCACTATCTTTGGTATCATTCTAATACTATATGTGGACCTACAAACATGGACATTTATGTGCTCAAGTGCTTTTTATAAGTAAACCAATACCTTTGAGAAAGATCTGCCCTTTATCTGAGGTAGCTCAGAAGAGCTTTCAAACTATACTAAGTTAACTGTAATCATGTTACAACCTTCATGAAACAAGGACAGAGGTTTATGTGTTTATTGTGTGATTGCTTTACTCTCAGCACTCGCAGCTGAAGCCTCTCTTCCCCGTCTGTTATTTTTCCTAATACAGAAACATCGCCTATTGAGATATTTGCACAAATACGTCAGTTCTGCTTTTACCTCTTGACAAACAGGCTATCAACACAGCCACAATTTTTTTCAGTTTTATGTAATTACAGAAAACAAGACTGTTCTATTAATTCACCTATTTTTGAGAAACACCAGCCAAAAGTTGTCTTGTAACAAACCCAAACATTGAGCTGTACAGACTTCTCAAAAAACATACTGTCCTACTTTTCAAAGAAATGTTGGAGACATAAACCTTGATTTAGCAGAACACTTGAGCATGTGAAAAGCCCCTTGATGTGCTTAAAGTTAAGCATGTGCTTAAATGTACTGCATAGAGGGCTTAACCAATTCAATGAAAGTTAAAGCTCATGTAACCCTAATAATTTAAGGCCAGATTCTGAAATCTGTACTCATACTAAATAGTTTATCTTTAAATAATCCCACTGCTATCAATGCTACTCAAGGTGAAACATGGTGGCCCTTAAGGATATACTCTGGCATATTTGCAAGAAATATTTTGTTTATAAAACATGGGTTACATTGGAAATTAATGTGAATGTATTTAGGTCGGGGCTCCCATACTGCCTGCTATAACAAGTCATAATATTTTCCAATTTAACATGTCTATTTAGCATCATTTCATGTACAAGAGGGATTTAGTAATAGAAAATCTGCTTAAACTTGTAGTAAACATTGTAAACTTAATTATTTGAAAGTTTATACTGGACAAACATATGTTATAAGTTTTATCCTGTAGAGTTCTGTTCAGAGAAAAAGATGTGGCTGAAACGCAAACTTTGTAGTTGATGATATTACATGAATATTTACTTCATGTAAGAGTAAGGGAGGGTGCATTGTATGGCCAGGAAGGAGGTTGCAGGAGCAATGATGGATGCTGGGTGGGAGTTGGTGTCTGGACAGAGGGGAGGTACAGGAGCAGGGAAATGCGGGGGTCTGGGCATGAAGGGGTTGCTTTCTTGGCTTCGCACCCCTGTTGCTCCCAAACACAGCTTCCTACTGCTCCCACAGGCCAGCCAATGGGAGCAGTGGGGAAAGCCTCTGGACAGTGTGTACCTGTGCTGCCAGAGGGGGGTTGGAGTAGGGTACCTGGCCCGGGGGGAAAGGGGAGGAGGCGCAGGAATGGGGGAGAATGCAAGAGCAGGCTGGGTGTCTGGCCAGAAAGGAGGGTGTTTGGCCACAAGGAAGGGTGCAAGAGCAAGGGAAGGTGCAGAGTCTGGCCAGGAGCGAGGGTGCAGGAGCAATGGTGAACACAGAAGCAGGGGGGGGGGAAGATGTCTGGGGAGAAAATGAGCTCAAGGCGTGGACCACTAGTTGTTTGCAGACTGCACTTTGAGAACCATTGATATAGATGGACAATGCATATCAGCCAATCAAAACAAGTTATAAAAATAAGATTATTTTGGGAATATTAGCATCCACATAATAGACAAATCCAGATGATAATTACTACTGCTGTACAGGTTTCAGAGAGGTAGCTGTGTTAGTCTGTTTCAGAAAAAAACAACATGGAGTTTGGTGGCTCCGTAAAAAGTAGCAAATTTATTAGGACATAAGCTTTCGTGAGAGAACTCACTTCCTCAGATGCTTGAAGTGAAAAGGCAGGGATACACAGATGGGAGTGTAATATCAGTACTAATTAAATCAGGGTGGATGTGGCTCACCTCCAACAGTGATGAGAAGGTGAGAATACCTGAAGGGAAATTATTTATTGTAACGAGAGAACTATTCCATGCCTCTTTCCAGACCCATTCTGACAGTGTCAAATTTGCATATGAATTCCATTTCAGCAGTTTTTCATTGCAGTCTGTTTTTGAAGGGTGGTTTTTTTTTTTTTTTTTTTTTTTTTTGAGTAGAGACAGTCCGGTTTGGCAAAAGTACATGGCAGAGGGGGATTGCTGGCACGATATATGTGCAGGTGAACGAGCCTTTAATAGTATTAGCTCAGTGTTTCTGAAAGTGGGCTATGGGCCTGTGCTGCTTTGTTTACCTAAAGGGTTTGTAGCCACGCTGCTTCCCACAGCTCTCCCTAGCTGGAAGTGAAGAATTGGAGCCAATAGGAGCTGCAAGACTCCCTGGCTATGGACTCTCTAGGTAAACAAAGTGGTGCAAGCCTGCTAGCAGCTTTCCTACAGCAGGCTCAGGGCCCACTTTGAAAATCACTGGTATAGCTAATGTGGTTAGGTCCTGTGATGATGTCACTAAGGTGGATGTACAGACAACAGTGTTTGTTGCAGAGATTGCTTCCTGGGATAGTTTCTCTGTTATGGGGTGTGAAGTTGGTGGTATTTGTTTCAGAATGGGGGACTGTCTGTAAGTGAGGACTTCCCTTCCCCTTCAGGTATTCTCACATTCTCATCACTGTTGGAGATGAGCCACATCCACACTGATTTAATTAGCACTGATATTACATCCCATCTCTATTCCTGCCTTTCTTGCATTTTAAGCATCTAAGGAATTGAGCTGTATCTCATGAAAGCTCATGCCCCTTGTTAATCTTTAAGGTACTACCAGATTCCTTCTTGTTTTTACTGTTGTACAATGCGTAAACATTTAGTATCGTTGACATTTACCGTTAAATGCATGTCAGTGAAACAATCAGCCTTTCAAAACAAATAGCATATGACCAGGAAAGAAGCTCTTGAGGTTTAATTATATCCATAATGAAAACACACTCCACACCTGCACTTACTTTCATCTTCAAACTATAAAGCTTGTGATAGAATACCTGTTGAATATTCTGGCATCTGGTACCTGTCAAACCTGTAAGATTACTATATGACAGCAGTATACTTCAGGGCTTATTAGTGAATCATTAGACACAGTTTACACCTTTTAAAAAATGTACTCGTACATACACGGTATGTATACATTTGGCCATATTTCACAGCTTACGTGACATTTAACTAAGTCAAACCAGTTGGGCTGAATACCACCACACAGTGTGTTACAAATTTGAAAATTAAAAGAACAAGTTCCCCTAGACCATTTTTGTTTCATATTATAATGCCAAAAGAAACTAGAAAATCATTCTTTAGAAAACAGACAAGGCATCATTCCAGTATTCAAGTAATTTATTGGAAGAAAGCCTAAATTTGCAAATCTAATCTTATTTTTACAGCACCAGCTCTATTAAATGTTTTCTTGGCAGGAAGCTTTATTTTTTATGATGCCTCCTTCAGATACCAGCATATCAACATGCCAGGAAAACGCTCTAGCAATTTTAAGTTATATACCAAAGTTTACCCAGTAAGGGCCTCATCTTACAAGGTGATGAGCAGCCTTGGGTCCTATGAAAGTCAGCATCTCACAAAGGAGAAAGAGTATAGAAAAAAGTCAAGTGTAATTTTCATAAGATATTTCATTTATTTGAAACGCTGTGGAATTCTAGAACTTCAATATTTACAGTTATTTCAAACCTGCCATTTAGATAGCTGGTCCATTTAGTAACTAATTTCAACCTATATAAAATGTAAAGGCCCCTCAAAAAATATTGAGACATGGGAAAAGCTGTGATGTTCCAATCCTGAAACAAACCAGACTCTGTGTTAATCCAAAAATAATATTAGTGTAGTAGTTATATTCATTTCTGAAATGTGATAGTCATTTCCAATCCAAAGCTGACTTCCACTAGTCACTGGATTCTTTTAACTCAGCAATTATGAACATGATACAGAAACTGAAGGGCATTTTGAGGAGGGATAAGAAAATCACATAGTAAGAAAGAAAAACACCGATATATTATTTAATTTTTATGGCTATTCACAAGCCTGGACAAGTTTAAGTAAACTGGTTTAAAACCAGAGTTTTAATGAAACCTGTGCATGGTGTATGTAGACAAGGTCTTAGATGTATCCTACAGAAAATGAAAGTGGGGACTGTAATTAAAATGATTAGTATGTGTTAGCAGTGCTTTCACCATTCTTTAAATGTACAATCAATATTTATGGTTCAAAGATTCCAATTACTGGAAAGGAGTGAACATATCTTTTCCTATTAAAAAGAAAGTTAAGATATTAAAAATGTAACTAGACAATGTTTTTACTTATATCATTTGAATTAATATAGATTCATAGATTACAAGACCTGATGAAACCACTGTGATCATCTAGCCTGATTTCCTGGATAACACAGACCATAGAACCTTTCCAAAATAATTCTTAGACCATGTTTTTAAAAAACAAGAACAAACCCATCAGATCTTGTGATTTAAAAATTGCCGGTAATAAAGAACCCACCATGACTCTTGGTGAACTATTCCAATGGAAAAATATGTATATCCTATTTCCAGTCTGAATTGTCTAGATTCAACTTCCAGCCACTGGATCACGTTATATAAGATCAGAGAGATCCCATTTGTTCCTGAGTAGGTTTCCCATAGACTACAATCAAGTCACTCCTTAACCTCCTTTTTGTTAAGCTAAATAGACAGTGCTCACTAAGGGTATGTCTACACTACAGTTTTATTGGGGAAAAAATGGTAATTTCCTGACAAAACTTGAGTAACGTCCACACTGCAATTGCGTTCTTCTGCAAGATAATCAAGAGA